CTCTATCTCTCTCTATTATTTCTCTCTATATCCCTCTATGTACCTATCTACACTTCTCTCTCTTTCTACCTACCATATTTCTCTATCTCTCTCTATTATTTCTCTCTATATATCCCTTCATCTACCTAACTACTCACTCTCTCTACCTACCTACTGTATTTCTCTCTCTTTCTCTCCCTCTCTATCCCTCTATCTACCTATATACTTTTTTAAAAATTTGCCTCTTCAAAACCTTGGTGCATCTTATACTCCAGTGTGTCTTATACTCCGAAAAATACAGTACCTGGGTGAAGGAAAAGAGTTTTTGGTTCATTTTTGGTAACTTTTGACAAATTATTGATTTGATTGTATAAAAAGATAGTTAAAGCCACCTACTGGAGAGAAAAAGTATAACACTCTGAAACAAAGCTGTTGAAGAAGGGCATGTTCCAGAAGTGGGTTTCAATCAGTTTGGACCAGTAAGGACAGACCGGTAGTGGAAATCAGTTGTACCTTTTGATACCATTGCCGATGGTGGCACGGCCATGCCCCCATACCAGTACAGTTCCCTGGCCTGTCTCCACTTGCTCCCCTGCCAACCCCCCCCCCCAGTCGCCGCTCAATCACTTGCCCCATCCATCTGCACCATGCCCACCCATTTCTTTTGCCTGCCCAAGCGGTGGGGCTGCAGCCGGTGAGCCAAAGGGGGATTGGTGGTGAGTGGTAAGTGAAGCGAGCACCAGCCAGCATCCCTGCCTAAAAGCCTTTGGAAGCTGTGGCTGCCCCCTCCCCCTCCCTTTTGCAGAAACTCCTCTTGTGGCAAAATTTGGATCATTCCATCTTTCCTGTCTTTCAGCTTCTCTTGTCCAATTATCTTCTCCTACCCCCCTCATCCCCCTGCACAATCTCAGTTGCTGCTTGGAAGGGAGGTTTCTGGTACTACAGGGCTGAGAAGAAAAGGGAATGGTGAACATGCCCTCCAAGGCTGCCCACCCCTTGGTGTTTTTGCAACCAAATTCTCCCACTCCCAAACAGAGGATCCGTCCACCTGAATATGGCATGGCAGAGTATGCTGGGGCCATAATTAGGGAATGTGTGTGGCAGAGGCTGCAGCAGCTCTGCTCTGAACAGAATGAGAAGAAAAAAAGTTCATATTCTCTCTGTGGCTGCACTTAGCATTGAATGCTGTGGCAGACAGAAGCCAAACTTTTCCTCTCCCTCCATTCACAGAGGAGCTACTGCTCTCTTTATGGCCCCCTCTGGCCCCCTCCATCCTGGGGGACAAAGTACCAGAAAGGGACAGGAGGCTGCCCCAGCTCCCTTCCAAGCAGACTCCCAGTCCCCTTCTTTCTTTCTTTCTTTCTTTCTTTCTTTCTTTCTTTCTTTCTTTCTTTCTTTCTTTCTTTCTTTCTTTCTTTCTTTCTTTCTTTCTGCAGTGAGAGAAGAGAAAGTGCTCTGGTTCAGCTGTGCCTGATTGGTGGAGCGCCTGCCCACTCAGAGCAACCATGTGGCTCACCTGCAATCACTGTCTCTCTGGTGACGGATGGGTGGTTGGGGTGCTCAGCTCAAGTGCAGCTGCACCACAGATCCATCCAAGGAGCAACCCCCTGGTCAATTTTCTTTAAGGCACTCACCTGCAGACTTTCGAGATGGCAGTGTGTGTGTTTTCCCCAAAAGGCCGCGGGGGTGCTTATCCCCGCCCGCGCGTTTTTCCAGACTCTGCAGTGGAACAAGAGAGAGAGAAGGGAAAAAAGAGGAAGGGCGTTGTCCTCTTATCAGGCTTGTGCATGAGGAAGGAGAAGCTGCTTTTCTCTTCCAAACTGGCTGTTAATTTGAAAATGAGCAATAAAAGAGAAGCACATTTCTGTACATAACAGACAGGAAAACATTGAGAAGTGTTGAGGAGCTGAGGTGTGTGTGTGAGAGTCAGGGAATTCTGACTGGAAACAAGACAGGCTCCCAAAGCCCCAGATGGACTGCCTAGGGAGGGCAATAGAGCAACTGAAGGAGGATCTTGACCGGTCCACCCTTACTGATGAGGGGCCATCATGCCGCCCAAAAGAGAGAGGAGGGACATCTGATCCTGTTGATGGGAGGAGATGCAGAGTAGAGCCCCCCCCTCCAGATAGAAGGAGAAAAAGCCCAAAGGGGCAAAGTGCCTCTCCCATGCAGCAGGTAGGCTGCCAAAAACAGGCAACCCCCTCCCTCTCTCTGAACTAGGGGTGAAAAAGATGGCCAGCCATATCAGGCACAGGCATACAGAGGCCAATAGGAGATTGGAGGAGTAGGACTGAATGACCCATCCCAATTCAGGGGAAAGTTTGATGGAGACTCATAAATTAATTATGTCAGCTCTTGGAAACTTCACAGTAAGATTTTACACAGGTGAGACGGATCTGTAAGATGGAAACTTTCCAACTTAGAAATAAGAAATTTCTTGACAGAACAATTAGAGAAATGGGATGCCTCCAGAAATTGCGGGTATACCATAACTGGAGGTTTTTAAGAAGAAATTTGTCCATAATTGTATAGGGTGTCATCCAGTGTTGTGTTTCATTTTTTTAGAACCTATTCTGTAGGTGTGGCCTGTTTTGTGGGAGTGGCTCGGCGATCATGTGACTGGGTGGGCATGGCCAATTTGGAAAATGTGGTGAAACTCACTTAACAACGCTCTTGCTTAGCAACCAATATTTGGGGCTCAATTGTGATCATAAGTTCCTGTTAAGACTCAGCAGTTTTGCTGAGAGTCTTTTCGGGATACAAGATTCAGTATGCAGCTGGGGCTTGTGGGAGGAAGTTTGGAGATAAAAGGACGGATACTGCCACGCCCCAGTCACTGGAGTCAACGTCATTCCTTCGTTCGTGCCTTGGTTTGTACAACATTGCTTGCTTATTAATCGTGATTTATGCCTGTTACACTTGGATAAGTGCTTTGGTGTTTCATGTAAACCTGATTTGTGAGGACTGTGAAACAATTGAAGTGCTTGAAAGAGTTTTTTGTTTTGAATTCTTGCCGGAGACTGGTATTTATGTTATTTCTGGGCTCGAAGCCAGTTTGAACTGTGAACTGATAAAGAAAACTTCCTTTTAAGTTGCCTGCCCGCATTTGTTAATGAGCCGTGAAGAGGGGGACAGAACAGATTGACTCCAGCCTGATAAGCCTCCATTTCATTAACTATGGAGCAATTACATGCTACACAGACGCAAGTCGTGCAGCAAATGGCTGTCCTGTCGGACCAAATTCAACAGTTGCAGAGAGCTGCAACCCCCCCCCCCCCCCCCAGGAGTAAGTGCCCAGTTGCCATGCCAGATAAATATGATGGGAGTTTGGCTATGTTTGCCACATTTCTGGGACAATGCCAGCTGTTCCTGAGCCTGAGAACGGAGGACTTTCCCACTGACTGGACGAAGATGGGATTCATTATCAGCTTGCTCTCAGGCATGGATGCCTGTTGGGCCATGCCCTTGTTAGTGCAGCAGAGCCCTTTGTTGGATGACTTCCAGGGCTTCTGCCAGTATTTCAAACGGATGTTTGAAGATCCGATAAAAGGGGAAACAGCTGCCAGAAGTTTGAAATCACTGCAGCAGGGGACTGGGTCATTGCAGAATGTGTCTGAATTCAAGCTACGTAGCCAGGATTCTACATGGAATGAACCAGCTCCAATGGACACATTCCAAGATGGATTGTCTGAGGCCTTGCAGGATGAACTGGTGAGGGTGGACAGGCCACAGACGTTTGACACGTTGGTCCACCTATGTCTCCAGATAGATGCCCAGCTGCAGAGGCGAAGGCCTTGCCATGTATTCCAGGAGACCACCAGCATGCCAGTTCAGCAAGAGACTGCAGTGGACTGGGAAGAGCCCATGGAGTTGGGTGCTGTCCGACCTCGGGTGTCATGGACAGAGATGGACAGACGACGTGCGGAGGGATTATGTTTTACTGCATGGATCTTGGACACTTGGCAGGGAGCTGCCCCAAGAAGAACAGAAGGGTTGTGTGGACTACAGCCATCCCTCAGCAATGCACGATCAAGTCAGACAACCAGCACATTGGTGCGACCGTGTTACCCCGTTCGCACAGGATAGCATGCGTTCGGGGTGTCTGAAGTCCCAGGGCGGATGGATGCCCTGCCAAGTAAAGTAAAGAACTCCAACCCTGCGAACTCGCTTCCACCTCGGACTGTTCTACCCATTGCAACCTGCGCTGCCGTTTGTCATCCCGGGAGCATGCAGTCTCTGGTACAGGATGTGCAGCAGGGTAACGACTGGGTGGAGCGACAAAAGGTGGAAGTGAGGCCGGCGTCCCCATGGACTTTGGAAGGGAATCTGTTGAAATGTTGGGGCCGGCTCTATGTTCCCACAGGGGACATCCGTCAACGGGTGCTCATGCAGATTCATTGTGCATCTGCATCAAAACATTGGGGGTTTGTTCGGATGTTGCACCTGGCCTCCCATCAATTTTGGTGGCCCCATCTGAAAAATGACGTNAGCTATTAATTTAGCCAGACTTGCTTTTGACTTTCCCTTCATGCAACCCTATTACCATTGAATAAAGGCTAATTCTTGAAATATTATTTTCATAGCATATAGTAGTGATATCATGTAACTGAAGAAGTTCACTGGATTCCCCCCTATCTCCTCTCAGACAGATAAAGTGATAGGATCTGTATGTAGATATCATGATGAACATTTCACAAACAAACAAGTTGGCGACTGCTGTGATTCCTCCTTTATCAGCCGTTGGGAATGTATCAGTAACTTAGGACCAGATCCATCCTATAATCCTCCTCCATTCAAACCTAAAGCACTGGAAGCCCCTGAGAAATTGTGCTCACCTAATGAAGCGACTGTACAGGAAAGTAAGCAAGGGTAAGGAAATAGTCATTTTAATCTAATATATTATTGCAGGTTTTACATGAAACAAGACATGATATACACATGTAGTTCCTGAATGCATCTTATTGTATGCTAGGCATGAGTTTATTTAGATACCTCCCATATCTTAGGATAGCTGTCTCCTCAAAATATCTTTGGTGTTTTATTTAGTTATTTATTATATTTTATTTGTTTGTCAAACATGTCCAAGATAACAAGCATAAGTATGAACATAAAAATGAACAAAGGAAGTAAATACAGATAAATGGGACAATAAGACAGTGACAGTGAGCATGCTGGTGCGCTTATGCATGCCCCCTTTATGGTTCTCTTAAGAATGGGGTAGAGATTGAAGCTATAAGGGTTTGAGGTGGTAACAGTGGAGTTGGGTAGAGCATTCCAGGCATTGACAACTCTGTTCCTAAAGTTGTATTTTGTGCAATCGAGTTTGAAGCGGTTTACCTTACGTTTGTATCAATTGTTTGCCCATGTATTATTGTGGTATTTATCTGACAGTATTTGTTTTCATCTCTTTTCTTCTTTTCTTCTGTTAAAACTTCTAATTTCATCACTGAGAGTTTACACTAAAAAGTATATTGAAAAAATAATTCTGTACGTATGCATGAACTTATTACTCAATTTTGGGATCTAGAAAAGAGTGAAATTGTGAAGGTCTTAGTTTCAACANGAGGGGTACAAGGGTCTTAGACCGTGCTCCAGGGAGGCCGTCACCAACTCTTCTGGGCCGCACCCCAATCATCAAAACCGGGGGAAGGGCTCTGTGAGAGGAGATTGCTTGGTGGCTCAGCCAAAGCTGGTAGAGGTGCCATCAACTTCCGATGGAAAGGGGGTTAGTGGGTTGGCCTTGCAGAAGGTGGAGGACCCTGGACAGGGTGTTAAGCTCGGCTGAAGTCGGTAGAGCTTCCATCAACCTCCGACAGAAAGGGGTTTGGTGGGTCGGCCTTGCAGAGGGTGGAGGACCCTGGACAGGGTGTTAAGGCTCGGCTGAAGTTGGTAGAGCTGCCATCAACCTCCAATGGAAAGGGGGTTGGTGGGTTGGCCTTGTAGAGGGTGGAGGATCCTAGACAGGGAGTTAAGGCTCGGCCGAAGTCGGTAGAGCTGCCATCAACCTCTGGCGGAAAGGGGGTTGGTGGGTCGGCCTTGCAGAGGGTGGAGGACCCTAGGCTGGGAGTGAAGGCTCGGCCACAGTCGGTAGAGCTGCCATCAACCTCCGATGGTAGGGGGGTTGGTGGGTTGGCCTTGTAAAGGGTGGATGACCCTGGGTGCGGTGTTGACACTGGGAAGGGCGGAAGGAAACATGGTGGCCACCGGATACCGAAAGAGTTCCAATTTAAGGGGGCTATGCCTCCAGAGGTTTGGGATTCATGAAAAAGGGACCAAGGGAAATGGGTGCGGGTCATCTTGGGGACACGTTATCCTGACCATCGGACCCCGGGGAAAGGGCCATGTGGTGGGGGATAGGGTTGTGACTCAGCAGTTCTGCTGAGAGTCTTTTCGGGATGCAAGATTCAGTATGCAGCTGGGGCTTGCGGGAGGAAGTTTGGAGATAAAAGGACGGATGCTGCCATGCCCCAGTCGCTGGAATCAATGTTGTTCCTTTGTGCGTGCCTTGGTTTGTACAACATTGCTTGCTTATTAATCATGATTTATGCCTGTTACACTTGGATAAGTGCTTTGGTGTTTCATGTAAACCTGATCTGTGAAGACTGTGAAAGAATTGAAGTGCTTGTAAGAGTTTTTTGTTTTGAATTCTTGCCGGAGACTGGTATTTATGTTATTTCTGGGCTCGAAGCCAGTTTGAACTGTGAACTGATAAAGAAAGCTTACTTTTAAGTTGCCTGCCTCCGTTTGTTAATGAGCTGTGAAGTGGGGAACAGAACAAGTTCCCTTCCTTCCTTCCTTCCTTCCTTCCTTCCTTCCTTCCTTCCTTCCTTCCTTCCTTCCTTCCTTCTTGTGTCTCTGTGTCTCTCTCTACCACTTATATTCTTTCTTTCACTTCCTTCCTTCCTTCTTTCCTTCTTGTGGCTCTCTCCACCACTTATTTTCTTTCTTTCTTTTCCTTCCTTCCTTCCTTCCTTCCTTCCTTCCTTCTTTCTTTC